GCCTGTAGTCCCAGCTACTCTGGTGGCTGAGGTGGAAGGATCGCTTGAGATCAAGGGTTTGAGGCTGCAGTGAGCTATGATCGTACCACTGTACTCCAGCCTGTGTGACAGAGTAAGACCCCGTCTCAGAAAAAAAAAAAAAAAAAAAAAAACAGTGATTTATAATTAGAAATCTACAAATCTAGACTATAAGAGAGGAAAATACTGCAAGCAAAGGAGGAGAAACATCTGTTTCCTATTTCATGTTAAGATAAAATTTATGTCATAAGGTCTGGAAACATGCTTCATTTTACCTAATCATTTCTTCTTAAAATTTCTGTAGGAATTGATGGGTTTTTTTCTTTCTCAGCTGAAATTCTACTCTACAAGCACCAGGGAATTTGTTATTTAAATGTGGCCTGAAGCAAATCCTTTTACACAACCAATAATCTCACCTTAATTTCTCCTTTAAAAGCTGAGTTTTCTGCACTTTTGGGGTTTTTTTTTGTTTGTTTTTTAGTAAATTCTAATATGATGCAATTTTCATAGCTGGTGGACTTGTTAGATTGACTTTATTTTTGGCTTAAAGATACATTTCCAATGCAATCATATAGATGCCTAGTGCTCTGTATACAAACATCCCCTGAGACCCAATTAAGCAGAGAATTGAAACTTCAAGATGAAAGAGATAAAACCTAATGACACAAGCGCAGGATGTGCCCTGCTGGGTTCTCTATTCCCAGACATATTTCTCTGGTTCCCTTGCATTCTTGTACCCTCATTCAAATGTCCTTTATCCCCCTGGAGGTCATGTAGATTCCTGTTTGTTTGGGAATGCTGTAAGAACTGCTCTTCTAAAGGAAGAAAGAGATGACATTCCAGCCTTTCAGGGAGGTCGCACCAAGGATCCCAGAAGGAAAAAGTCTCTTCCATCCACTTACACATGGAAAGTTGGGGATTTTTCCCCCTTGATTTGGAAAGATGTGCTGAATATCTCAACCAATGAGGGTTCCAGCAGCTGGCCATGCTACCTATGTTCCGTCATACCCAGAGGGTGAGGGTCCCTCCTTAAACAGCACATCTCAGCTGCCTGTCAGAGGCAGAGCTGAACGTGTCATTTTACCTCTGCCCATGTCTAAGTGCTCTGGCTATTTCTGGCTATTTTCAGTGACTCCCAGAGCCCTGGCCTTTCTCCTAGGCAGAACAGGTTCTTTTAAGCAGCAGCTGAGCTTAAACCTCAGCTGAGCTGAGGCTAACCAGAAAATCACATGGTAGAAGATTCATAAGTCAAAAATCAATCAACAAAAATCCATCTCTCCCGCTCCCAGCCTGGTACCTAGCTTTATGAGGGTTCCTCGAGGCAGGGTTAGACACTGGCCCGCACTGGGTGTCAGGGAGGTCAGACTGAAAGGAGGAGTGGAGATAAAGCCATTCAGCAAATCACACTAACTTTAGGAGGCAAGGTCTCCTCTGGGCAAAGAGAAAGCCTTGGGGAACATCTGCTTCTTCAAGATGGAAAGCATCGTTATCTGACCAGCAGCAAAGTGGTTCTAATAATGTCAAGAATAATGTAATCTTAATGTAGCACCTATATCTCAGAGGAGGAAGAAGGATGCTTACTGAGTTTCTACTAGGTACTTCAGTGTACATTGCACCGCTCAATTCTCTCCTTAACCCTAGAAGATGGTACATTATTCCCCCTTTATCAATGAGGAAACAGAGCTTCAGAGAGGTGAAGCAACCCGCTCAAGATCGCACAGCTCTGAGCAGCAGAGCCCACACGCAAATCCAGTCCAGTGGGATGCACGCCACTGCCCCCCAACTCTCCCCCATCCCACGTGAGGACCAGCGTCTTGAAAATAAGCCAGTACCAACCACGGGAGCAGCCATGATGCAACAGCAGCTTACATTTGTGGAGGGCCCATCCTGGGCCACTCATTTTTTCTCAGTGCCCGGTTTGTATTATCAATCTCATTTAACAATTGCCATAACGAAGTTAGCTACTTTTACTATTTTTCTTTTCGGATGAAACACCTGGGTCGCAGAGTGGTTAAGTGCCATGCCAGGCTCGTACAGACTGTAAGCCTCGCTTCTGGGCTTTGAGCTCAGCGCTGTAGCCCCAGAGCCTCCGCTGAATCCAACGACTGCTTCCTGGGGACTTGCAACAATGCCCTGTGACTTCTGAGAAGATGAGTATCCTATTTGCCAAGTTGGTTCCCCACCCGACCCTGCAGTGGCCACCCAACAGCCTGGCTGAGCCCGCCATTTCTCTTTCCTCCTCCTAAGACTGCTCGCCCTCTGATAGGAGCAGCTGATCCTCTGGAAGGCCCATGTGGGCATGGCTGGAGCTGACCTGCCCCTGTCAAGTTTGTAGCAGAGGAAACGATACCAGTTTCCCATCTGACATCGCCCTTCATCACCCTAGTTCCTGTGTTCCAGGCACACCTGTCATGTTTCCACAGATTCTAAAGCCATCCAGGCCAAATGGCTTATTTGCTTCTTCAATCCTCCAGTGTTTTTCGCAGTACCAGACCTACTATGGGAACTCAGTAAACGCATGTTTAAAGACACGCCTCTCTTATTTCACATAGAGTCCCTGAAAATGAATTCCCGCGTGGTGGCGGGCGCCTATAGTCCCAGTTGCTGGGGAGGCTGAGGCAGAAGAATCGCTTGAATCCGGGAGGCAGAGGTTACAGTGAGCCGAGATCACGCCACTGCACTCCAGTCTGGGCAACAGAGTAAGACCCTGTCTCACAAAAGAAAGAAAGAATAAAAAAAAGAATAAAGAAAATGAATTCCCGTTGCCAGTTGCTCTTCCTTTCCCCAGGTAGAATGGCTTAATAGAAAGAGGAGTCTTTGCAGTTACAGACCTGGATTTGTGTCCCCACCCCAGCCCCCTTACCTACCGAGCAGTCTTCAGCATCATCCTCTCCAGGTCTGTTTCCTCTTTGGTAAAGCAGGGCAATACCTTGCCTTGCAGCGTTCTTGTTGGGCTTTCATAAGATCATTATATAAGAGGCGTGGCCCAAGGTAAGTGCTTAAAATAAGAAGACTGCTCTTTCCTGTTCTCTATTCTTACTGAGTTTAGCCTTTAAAACACAATGGCCATTATAAAAAAATAAAAAATAAAAAAGGCTTCAGATGCTTCTCTTCCCAAGGTCGCATAGGGGGCTGCAAAGGAGCACTTTACGTTTCCAACAGTGCATCCTGGTCCTGTTGCCCCCTTGCTGTGCAGTCTTGGCCAAGTCACTTAACCTTTCTGGGCCTCAGTTTCCTCATCTGTCAACTGAGAAGATGTGGGCTAAGTAATCTCCCAAGGGTCCACCAGTCCAAGTTTTCTCTGATCATAATTACTCAGTGCTCCTACTTAAAATATTTGGAAATGAGTATTCTTCGCCTCTGTGACACCAGAGCTCCTTTTTCCCATCTAAACTTGTGGAACTGTAAGCAATTTACCCCAGAGATGCTGATTTGCCCCTGGGCTGGCTTCCCTAGAATAAGATGGTTGATGGTGCCCTGCGTGTGAGCAATGGGCTGCAGTGACCGGGCCTGCGCAGGGCCATGGGTGTGGGCAGGACCTAGCTGTGGGCAAGTCACTGTGCGCTCAGCTCGATTTATTTTCTTTTTAAAATGGGGGTAGGAGGAAGGGGAGGGAAAGTTTGCATTAAGCACTTTAAGTTGTTTTTACATTACAGAAGCAATAAAAACATATAGCAAATTTGGGAAATAGAAAAAGAAAATTTGGGAAATAGATATTAGGAAAAAAAAATCATCCAGGATTTTATCTAATTCAGTCACTATTAGTTATTATTTTAGTCTTTCTCTTAATCCTTTCTCATTTGTGTAATTTACCTAGTAGATAGGTAACTTGTGTCTTTTTTGTTTTTTTCTTGTTTTTTTAACTTAGTATTATCATAAAAATTTGCAAGTTGCTTCATGATCTTTGCAATCATCACATAATAATGCATATTTATTTCATCATTCCATTTGTTTGTTGGTTTGTTTTTAACTCCTAAAGACAATTTTTATTTTATTATTTATAAATATAAAGCTACATTATATCTTTTTGCATATATATGTGTGCATAAAGGTATGCGTTTCTAAGAGAATAGATTCTCAAGAATGGACTTACTGCTTCAAAGGATTTGATCATTTGCACAGCTTTTGGTACCTGTTGTCAGATTGCTTTCCAAAGGGGCTGCACTGATTTCCTATGCCACCAACAATTACCCATTTTGCTGCATCTTAACCAGAACTGGTTATTATCATTTAAATTTTTTGGAGATTTAATAGGCAAAGCAGTGCCTAATTGTTTTAATTTGCATAGCATTGATGAACTGAGGAAGCCAATCATTTTTCCATATTTTTGTTTTCCTCTCCCTTCCTAGGATCAAATGATTTCTGAGCCACTTTTATCCCCAACCTTAGGTCTGGGAGCCTCTCGGGAAGCAGACAGATGGCACAAGATTGCAAGAGTCAGACAGGAGACTATATGGAGATATAAATGATGCCTTTAAGGGGTTACTGGATAGAGGCAGAGGAGAAAAACTAAGAATTAACTAAAGAACACCTAAGAAGTGATTCTGGCCAAACTTAAAAGGTATCTCCCCTCTTCTGTTTGGCAGCTCCAGTGATGTGCAATGGAAATAATGCAGTTGCTCTCTCTTCTGTGATTAGAAAGAGAAAATGAGAATTCATTCATGAGATAATAGTTAAAATAATGTTGGCATTATTTACAGTGAGACCCCGTTTTAAGGCTGATTTTAGTGATTAAGACTGATACCTTCATGGAAGACAGCTAAGGTGTACCAGGTGTTTTCTATATCTAATTCACATGTTTATGGTGCTGGAATTGATCTCCCTAGTAACTGAATCGCTGTGAGAACCAGCTGTATCTTTTAAGATGGGTTCATTCAACTAACTGGCTTAATCCAAAGGTCAGTAAAAAGCTGCAACCGTAAAAACACCGGAGGCTTACCCGTTGCTCCAGAGACACTTCATCTTCCCTTTCGTATACTTACTTCAATTTCTCCCAGGTTTCTTTGCTAAATTTCTCTATCACAAGAGATTGCAGACAGGTGTTGATAAATCCATACTAGAATACAAAACCAGAAGAAAAATATATGTAATGAGGCATGAAATCCCCAGTCATAGACATCTTCATGTCTTTTAGGAAATATGCAATGGCATCCTCTTGGAGAAACTAATTGTACCTTTTCCCTGTTTCTTGTGATTTAATTTAATAGCTCTGCTCATTCCCAACTTAGGGAAAACCTGGCAGCCCACCGCTTGGGTTAGTTCCATAGAGAAAACATATGAACTACATTTAAAATCAAATCGTAATTAGAGAAAGTTAAAGAGAGTGTTTACCGTCCATTATAATCCTCTCCAAAAAAAGGAACTGGTTTGTTAGAATAAAGAATCCAAAAACACACCAGTGGCATGGGGGTGTTTAGACCTGGGGGACAGGAAGGGCACACACTTCATATCAATTCCAAAAAGGCAGTGAAAGGACAATTTGTTTTCTTTATAAAAATGAATCTGTACCTGGCTGTGTGTGTGGAGAATATAACGAGGGCAGGAAAACAGAGGAGGAAACTCCAATGAGAAAGACAGCACCAGGTTAACAGAAAGAACTGTTTTCTGGGTGTGCTCATTAATCTGTGCTCTTTCTTCTTCCTGCATAAGAAATAAAAAAGGGGGGCCCACGAAGACTTCCACTTACTGGAGGGTAGTGTGCCCCGGGCAGGACACCTGCCTCCCGCGGCTCGGGTCTCCTGACACAAGCGCAGTGATTGAGGTATTTTGAAAGCGCTATGTGAGCTCAGCTTTCAGAAGATTTCTTCCTAAAGGGAAGAATTCCTTTGTCCCGCAAATATCAGGCTCCAGATTTGTTTTATAGGTTCGAATTTTCATATATGTAGGAATTTCTCAAAGCGAAAGAGCCCAGTGCCAACAGGAAGGAGTGTCTAAACTCTGGTAGTTCTTTTCCAGAAATGGAAATATTTGTCCTACTGGGCTATATTTCCAGTTCCCCACCACCAATGTCATCCTTACTCCTTACTCCATCTTGTCCTGGCTCTAGCATTGCCAATACGTGCCCGCACCCTCGCCTGGCATTCGAAGCACTCTCTAGAACTGTCTTAATGTATGTTTCATTTGATCACCTACTCCTGCTGCCTTAGGCTCATCCAGAATGCCTACCACTCTTCCCCAAACAGTAATGTCACTTCTTCAACGTTTCCTCCTTTCTCACCCAGTCAGCCCAGGGCAAGGCCAGGCGCCAATGCTACTGGGATACTGCCTGGTCTGCAGAACCATTCCCTCTCCCTCTGCCAGACCCAGCCATCATTCCCTGTCAGGCTCACTGCTGGATGCCTCTGTGTCCTCATCACCACAGGGCTGGCGTGTTAAACTATCACATGCACACGCTTGGATTTTGTATCTATCAACACACACACATATATATACACACACAGGCATATATGTATGGGTGTGCATGTATTTGTATATACTTATATATTATGTATGTTTATATGTGGGTATGTATACATATAAATGCATATGTGTGTATGTGTATATATATTTTTTTCCTGTCCTTTGTTAAATTGCAAGCTCCTCAGGGTCCGGAAGTAAGTGTCATTTATCTATATTTTCATTAAAGTGCCAAGACAGTGTCTGCTACATAGGAGGTATTTAACAAATACTTATCGAGTAAGGAAGTACTGAATTGAAGCCTCAAATCTGAACTACGAAAATCTTTAAATAACCCCAGTTATTCAACATCAATCCAATGTAAACAAAGATAGCAACTGTTCAACTTAGCAATCTTTGCAAAAGTATGCCCAATCAAATAAAACATCATGCCCACTGCCCAAGCACTAGAGACACCCTTCTAGTGTATAACAAGGGAAACTGAGGCATTGGGGAATTTGAAGTCCACTGCTGGTTAATAACCACATCATCTACTTCTGGGTCATGACCATCCCGATAGTGTGCCTCTGTTTGATGAATTTAGGGCCATTGAGTCATGTGGTCCAGCATTTGTCTTTGGTGTTCAGCAGTTCCCCAAGCTGGTAGCAGAGTTGATCGTTTAGAGACCTTGAGCTTATAGATCAGAGAGTGACCCCTCACCCTCTACTGATTATAAACATTTCCCTTTCCTGTCCACTGAAATCAGGTGACTTTCTCTGCCCCTGGAGAAAGCAGAAGAGGCAATGGATCCCACACGATGTGTCCAGTGTAGGCGGGGACCTTGGTGTTTGCTGCCCACAGCCAGGTGGAGGGGGATACACGGTAGGACACACTCCCTACACATTTGAGGGCCTCATTGAAATGGGCAAGAAAGGCAAGCCAGCACCAGAGTTCTCTAACCATCTGGAACTACTGCTGCTCAACCAGTGAGATCAGCAAGCAGACAGGGACTCTCATTGGCTGGCGGCACCCAAATCTTTCAGAGGCTACTTGGGCCATGGCTGCGGCACCCCAAAAAACATCTGTTTTCCAAAGAATCAGTTAAAACGTCTGAAAATGTTAGGGTTTAGCCAAATCTTTCTCTTGTAAAGATGTTTTCACATTCCATATCCTATCCTACTCACTGTGCCTGCCAGACGTTGGCTGGGGAATGTGGCTTCAAAATAAAATGCAGCCTCAGTAAGCCCAGAGAGGGGGTACGGCTTGGGAGAAAGGGTTTGGGCTCTCGAACCAGAAGGGTTTCTGTTTCTGTGACTTGTAGCTGTGCAGCTTTGGGTAAATTGCCTAACCTCTCTGAGCCCAATCTGCTCATGAGCGAAAGTGGAAATAATACCATTTGCTCTGTTGGAGGATGGTTGTTGGGGTTATAGAGGAACGTCCTTTCTGGAGTCAGACCATGAGGGCTCGTTGCTGACCCCAAGTCTTATTTGCTGTTTGACTCAGGCCAGATCTTACTCGCCTTCAGTTGTCTCATCTGGAAAATGGGGATGAGAATGGTCCCTTCCTCACAGGGTTTTAGTAAGGATTAAATGAGGTAATATGTGTGAGGTACTTAGCACATAGTAAGCGCTCAGGAAACTGTAGCCTCGTAGATAACAGGCATTTTGAACAATAGGTGCTCAACAAATGGAAGCGGAGGGAAAATCAGGGCCGAGGGTGCTGAGAGCTGCTCACCATGTTCCTGCCACAGCTGCTCCTGGGGCCGCAGGGATTGAGATGCAGCGCCAAGCAACTGCCCTTCCTGCCAGCCCCTAGTCGCTCAGGAGAGAATCCGCAGCGTCTCCAGAAGCCTGACTTGTAGAGGTCTGGGCAGTCCACAGGGAAATTAGGAGCTCATCACCAGCCTCCAAGCAAGGAGCACGCTGTTGGGTCCTCAGTCATCTAGGGGGTAAAGTGTAAGGCCACCCCCTCCGGTGAGCGAGTGGGACCTGCTGCCTGTCACCCCAAGTCATGCACACTCTGGATGCTAAGCTCTCAGGAGTTCAGACAGAAACCTGAAGCTTCTCCCCAAGGTGCCAGCAGCACAGAACGCCTTTCTGCCAGCACAGAAAGGCATACACCCCTAAGCTCCTGTGGGAAGACTGCCTTGTAGATGAGGCTGTCTGTTGAGTGGTCTTTTTAGTCTATCTTTAATTAAACCACTTTGGATGCCATCCAAGAGCGGCCTGCCTTGACCAACACTTGGCCCTACAGTGTCATAATGGGAAGTCCCCTGGTGCCTCGAGCCTTATCCTCCATCCTCATCACTGTTCCGTTTCAGGCTCTGGTGGGCTGTTTGCCAGAGGTCTATTTCCTGAGTATTACTTGTGGTCAGAGGTGAGAAATCCAGCCGCTAACCAGGTCCAACAAATGTTGCCTGTAGCTGTTCCAACACACATGCTAGCTTTGGTGTAAAAACAGAGAAGAAATAAATAAATTCAGTAAAATCAAAGGCTGGGGTAAGCCCTCCAGGCTGCAGTGTGGAGGTGTGGGGCACTAGATGGATGTGACTCATGGTTAAGACAGCCTATCGGGAACCTAACAACGCCATAGACCAGGGCCATCTGCTGAAATGAATGTCCAGGCATCGCACGCCCTCCTGAAAGACTTCAGCACCTTTCCCTTGGCATCCAAAGTGTGCTGGAAGATTCTTCCCTTCTCAGTAGGCACTCCTTCACTCTCCCCTGTTGGCGTCCCTCTCCCATCCTGCCTGCCCTTCTTTCTGTCACTCTCCTTAGAAAGACTTCCTGGTCCTCCTTCCACTCAGCCTTTCTGGCTGCCTCGCCTTTACCCTCCTGGCTTGACTCACGCCAGCTCCTCCATAGACGGACTTGACACCCGGAGAGACTGGTTTCAGCTCCCCCTTCTTTCTGAAGTGGGGACTTCACTTATTCTCAAAAGCTGGACTCTATGTGCTGCTCCTCTGTGGCAGGAACATGTGGTCAGGAGGAGAAAAAAAAAGGCTCAGGAATAGATGATTTCCATAATTACGCTTCGCAAGCCCTTGCCTCCATTCAGCTGACACTCTTTCTTTCTGCCCTGCCAAGTGGGCTTGCTCTGGCGCTCTCTCACAAACCCCCTCCCCGCCCCCAACCCGCTTTTTCAAACACATACACCAGCACCCTCACATTTCACAATAAGTAAATGGTTTTTTTAAAAAAAAAATCTCCATTTTCTTTTTCATGCGGCAGATGGCAGTTCTCAGGAACTTGGTGGAAATTAGGCTTTCTGATTTTCTAATAAATTTCAACATCTCACACAAAAAGCACAAGCTCATTTTGATTCTGATGTTAAGTACCATATGGCATATCATCCATGGAACGTGGCAGCTTCATACCCAGGGTAACAAGGAGGGGAGGGGCTTTCCTGTAACAATGAGGCTGAGTGGGAACGAACCAATTGGATTCCTGGGTGAATACCATTTGATAATAATATTGTATATGACAGTGGAGTAATTATCCCTCTTTTATGGTATGTGTTAATTTTCACTGCCAGTTTCCCTAATTACAACTGCCACCCAACGGACTACTTTTTGTAAATACTCTGTAAACATTTGAAAAGACATAGACAGTGCTTGTACCAAAAAAAAAAAAAAAAAAAAAGTCCCTAGTTTTTGAAACTGTCTGGAAAATAGGCTGACGTTTTATATGTTTTTCAATTGCATAGACAGTCAGCGAGGAAATTTCACTATATGGAAATTCCCCTTCTCTCTTCCATGACATGACGGACCTCCTTGCCCATACTGTGATATTGTTTTGAGGGATATTTTTCACTGTTACCTTTTTCTATATTAAGTGAGCAGTTTCATGACCTTTGACAAATGTATACTATTGTGTAGCTCACACCCTAATGAAGATATAGAACATCTCTGTGGTCATAGAACGTTCCCCCGTACCCCTTCTTAATCAACCCTACCACCCCCAGCTGCCCCTGTTCAGATTACTATCATATTATTGCCACAGACTAGTTTTGCTTGCTCTTGAACTTCATGTGAATACAGTATGTTCTCTGCGGTGCCTGGCTTAACTTGTTAACTCACGTTTGGTGCATTGAAGGGTTCAAACATCATTCCCCAAATTAGACACATGGATGTAAACACAGCCTCGCTTGATGCGTGTCCTGTGATACATGGTGAGATCCAATAAACCACATCTCATCTCCTGTGTGCAATGAGAAACACACATCTTTTCTTTTTCATGGACTTGTGGGGAGGGCGGGATACCATTGAGAGGTCACTGGAGTAAACCGCTATCATTTAAGGAAAGAAACTAGAGGGAGAATACAAGGTAAGAGTGTCTGAGAAGAAAACAGAACGCTGATCTGGTTTTCGGTGTTTTGTTTGTGCATTTCTGGGAACGCAGCTGCCTCATTCCTGGTAGCAAGCCTTTCCTGTGGTTGATTTGTTGCCCCCAGTCTACCTCAGACTTCCTGGCTTCTGAGCCACTGCTGGCTTTCTTTCCAGGGTCTACATCAGCAGAGGAAAGTGTCCCCGGACGCAAGACAGGGTGTGGCTGAAGCTGGGCTCCCAGAGGCCCGTCTGTTAAAAAATACGCCCCCCAGCCCCACCCCCCAGACCTGCCAGGTCTCTGAAATTCTCATTCCTTTTAGCTATAACTTGGGAAACTTCTGACAGAATAAAAATATTATCCCTTTGGCCAAACAGATTAGCTAGTATTCACCTAAGAAGGAAAAGGACATAGAAGAGGTCAGCTTTGATGTGTGTGCCTCAGAGGGACTGAGAGGATCAATTTCTACGTCAGTCCAAGGCACAGAGCGCTCTGAGAGGCCGGCTCTGCAGAGGGAGGTCTCCATCACCTAGGGACCGCGGAGGCACAGAATGAAAGAGTTCAGCTTTCCTCGTGTGGCAGGTGGTACTGGGCTGGCCTTGAGTTTTCTCCCTTGGTGGGTTTAATATCTCATTGAAAGATGTCTTGAGGCTGGGATAACCTGGCTAAAGGTAGAGCTATGATAAACAGTCAGATTTCTTTCCACGTATTTGTGTATTATAAACTTTAGTATGCAGGAACAACTGAGTCATCGATCAGTAAGAATCTTCAGGGAAAAAATATCCAGAAGACAGGGCGGTTTGTTTTCTTAAATGTTCATAGTAAGTGCTTGTACTCTTTTCATGCCAGCTGTGATAATAATCACTCACTTTTACCAAGCCTCACCATATGCCCGGCACAAAGCACTTTCCATGTTTTAGAATAAGCCACATGAAATTGCCATTTTTTACAGGTCAAAGACTTTAGAGTTGAACCAATTGAACCACTTTCATTTGGTTCTAGTTAATATTAATTCAGTCTTACCACAATCCTATCGTGTAGGTCGTATTATCGTGAACACGCTTGACTGATGGGAGCACTGAGGTGCAGAGGCATGAAGTAGCTTCCCTGAGGCTCCAAAACTAGTTAGTGTCGGAGCCGGTATTCACGCCCAGGCCTGTGTCCTATATCACCTTCAAGAGAAGAATAAAACCAGCTGCCATTAACCCCTCTCTTTTTCCGGAAGAGGTTTAGGCCTGTCTTGGAGTCAGGTAATATCTTAAGAAAAAATCTCTTTTTCCAGGAAAATCAAAACTCTGGCTTATGTGGGCCCATTTTATTTCATCTACCACACTGGAAAGTGAGGTTTGATTCACACATGTGGTCGAGTACAATGTTGTGGAAAACACCTGAAAATGGGCTCTGAATGTGGAATTCTGAATCCTTTGATTTCAAACAAGAGGTCCTTTGATTTCCCCTTAGGACGGATGAAACCAGCAAGAACTGAGGCATTTCCTACAGGGTGGTAACCAGCTAGTGAACCCAGTTCACCTCCTTCATTGCTAACAGCCCCATACTCGTTGACAATGCTATCTGTGTATTCTAAGAAGAATTAGAAGGCAGGGCTCTTTCTTTTTCAATTTGGTTTTCAAATCTTCAATGGTGCGTAAGCGGACCAGCGGGATTGCTGGGCATAAAGCGCCACCGTGTGGCCAAAGCCCCACATGCCAACAGGTCGCTGTGTAAGTCATTCCC